TTGTCTTAAACACATTTAGTTATCTTTTTCTATTGATTAATACTAGGAAACCTAGATATTTTGTAAAGAAGAGAATTAAAAAACCAAACATAATTTTAATTATCTTTTTTTCTTCAAGCTAAAGCCAAAAACATAAAAATATGATTTTTCTTTTGTAACTTTTTCGTTCTTCGAGATCCAAGCATGCCTAAAGTGTTCTATAGAATATTTTCCAGGTTTGTTTCTTTCCTGTCAGGTATTTGTGGACCATCCTTCATACCACCGACCGGGAACTCCCTATGGTGACAGTTATGGTGCTTTTGGCGATAACCAGGTGAAGTTTCTTAATCTTTATTTAATCTCCTTATTTGACAAGGAGTTTGGCTCTGTAACTTTTTGTAATAATAATGCTTGGAGTTGATGTGTTGTTGCTTTTTTTTCCTGGTTAAACAGTTCCGGTTCACTTTGCTTTGTCACGCAGCGTGTGAAGCTCCATTAGTTCTTCCCTTGGGAGGGTACACATATGGGGAGAATTGCATGTTTATTGCTAATGATTGGCATGCTGGTCTGGTTCCTATGTATGTCCACTAACAACTAGTATTTTCATTATCCAATTCAATTAGTTCAGATTGTTTTTTTATTATTAAAATGATTACCTAATTCGATTCGTTAGCAATGAAATGGACTATGATTTGTTGAATTGAAATAGTCATTGATATTGAGGGTAAGTTGGGATTGATGTTTTTTTTCTTGTTCAGACTTTTGTCTGCCAAATATCGTCCACATGGTGTTTATAAGGATGCTCGGAGCATTATTTTGATACATAACCTTGCTCATCAGGTATCTCTTTAGTATAGTTTCTGGTCATCTTTTCTTCCTAATTTTACATCCTAACGCGAAATAAAGGGTGACTGAAATGTTATGATCACCTATTACGTTATTCTTTCAATTGTATAACGGCGTAATGATATTGGCTTGGCTCTCCAAAATCTTAATCCAAACAGACCATAAGAGAGGAAGTGCACTGCACTAGGCATTTTTCGATATCCCAATGTACACATACTTAATGATCAAATAAAAAAGCATATAACACAATGTTTTAGACATAAAACTGCAGCTTGGAGATTTGCTTTTCCATTTACTCATTTTTAAGTACCTTATATAATGTTCCAATGATAGATGCAGAAGATGACATAAATAGCCCATGCACTGTGAAATTTGCAAAGTTTATTCAATTCTTCACATTGGTGTTCTTGTGTAAAGAAGATTTAAAATTTGTTTTTTGCATTTCGGCTTTAAACAGGGGGTAGAGCCTGCAGGAACCTTCAAAAATTTGGGACTGCCTTCAGAATGGTATCCGGCAGTGGAATATATATTCCCAACATGGGCACGGGCCCACGCCCTTGACACCGGGGAAACAGTGAATGTTTTGAAAGGTGCAATCATCACTGCAGACCGCATAGTGACCGTTAGTCAGGTGATTTTTTTAAATTACACATTTTCCTATCTTTGAGATTGCCTTGTTCTATGGTTAAACAATTTTTTCCCCTTTCATCTTTTCTTTAAAGCCATTATAGGGATTGCTATACAAACTTTTTTAATGTTTGGCTTTATCATATAAATAAATATTGAGTATATAGAACCATTTTGAACCATTTCTTTTGTTAATACCTTAAATTTCTTTCCTCCTAAACGTCCTATCTGTTTTCTTTCCCTAGATTTTTCTGGGTTCCAAAGGACCCTAATCAATGCATCATCAAGGGAAGCAGATTACTAATCCACCATGAACTGTTCATGCGCCAATTCTTGACATTTGTTTTGGGTTTCAGGGTTACTCTTGGGAAATAACTACTCCTGAAGGTGGATATGGCCTACATACCCTATTGAGTAGTCGAAAGCCAGTTCTTAGTGGGATCACAAATGGAATTGACGTCAATGAATGGGACCCATCATCTGATAAGCACATTGCTTCACCTTACTCCGTAGATGATCTCTCTGGAAAGGTAGTAGTTCTCGTTATAAGTTAGTGGCGATACACATTTGGTTTTTTCTGAAAGAAAAGAACATTATAATTTGTTAAAGCGGTTTTAGTGAACAATGGAATAACTTCATCTTACTCCAACTGCCACACAATTGCAGGCTCAATGTAAAGCTGCATTGCAAAAGGAATTAGCTCTCCCTATTCGACCTGACTGCCCGTTGGTGAGATGCTTAACATAACTTTCTCCCAATAAGTGTATGGACACTGTTTTAACTTCAAAGTTTTAATCAATTAGGTTGGATTCATTGGGAGGCTGGACTTTCAGAAAGGTGTTGACTTAATCCTCTCGGCAACTCCAGAACTCATGCAGGAGGATATCCAATTTGTAGGTGTTTCTTTAGTGTTACCACTTTCTTTCAAATTGCTTAACATATTTATCTTTAATACTTTGTATCTATATATTTGTCTTTCAGGTAATGCTTGGATCTGGTGAGAAACAATATGAGGAGTGGATGAGATATATGGAATCACAATACAGAGAGAAGTTCAGAGGATGGGTTGGATTCAATGTGCCTATTTCACATAGGATAACAGCCGCGTAATAATCAATTAAATATCTTTTATACCAAAAGGGGAAATTTGTTTGTTTTCTTTTGAATTACAGATGGTGTTTGTTATTAAATGTGCAGCTGTGACATCCTATTAATGCCTTCACGATTTGAACCTTGCGGCTTAAACCAACTGTATGCTATGCGATATGGCACCGTGCCCGTTGTTCATGACACCGGAGGCCTAAGGGTAAGTTTGGCATTTAAATATCGTGATTAACCTTTTCTATTATTAGGCTCTTCACTCACTCGCTCTTAACGTTACAGGATACTGTGGAATCTTTTGACCCATATGCTAATGATGGCAGCGGTGCAGGCACTGGGTATGCATATCTAGAAAAAGCAATCTTTGATGATTGATTTTATTGAGTTATCCGTTTGATTGCACAAAAATAACCTCTCATGGAAAAGGTTTTCGAAGGAAGAGTTGAAAGAATTGCTGAAACTATTATCCTCCTTTTTTCAAACACAAGAAAATCTTTCTTGGAAAAAGATTTAATTTTTCTACGCCAAACGCTTTTTTCCAGGAAAGTGTTTTGCTAGAAACAAACAGACTCTAATACAACAACAACAACAACCAAGTTGGATCCCATGGGAATACAAAGACTAGTACAACAAAGAAAAAGATACTAAAATGTTTTGCTTGGACAGAAATTTGCAGAAAACATGGCACTTTATAAAGTATCCAATATTTTAAAGCTTTTTTCTGGTACCCAGTTTGATTTACTCTGGAGAATAAGATACTTTCCTTCATTCATGGTTTTGACATATACCATTCAACAGGTGGACGTTTTCTCCTCTATCGAGAGAGAATCTTTTGGCCGTAAGTTTCTTGCAATCTTTTTTTCCCCTCTTAAAGCCATGATAAACCAAACAAAAAAGGACATGAGAAAGCAATCTTCATATAAAAGGGCATTCGGTATTTATTGGTTCTTTGAAATCTGTCTGATTGCAGACGCTTAGAATAGCGATGGGGACTTACAGAGAGCACAAAGCCTCATGGGAGGGGTTGATGAAGAGGGGAATGGAAAGGGACTGTTCATGGGAAAATGCCGCGGTTCAGTACGAGCAAGTCTTTGCGTGGGCATTCATGGATCCACCTTACGTTCGATGGCCAAACTAAAGAAGAAATCCAATAAAAATCCCCTTCACAGTACTATATATAGTATACCCGAAGATCAAAGAAAGAAAAGAAAGAAAGAAAGATCTCTTTGATTTTGTTAAATCATCTCATCATACAAAGAAGATTAATTGGTTCATTCCTTGCCCACTCCAAGCTGGCATTCTGGCAATTTTTGCTGCTACATATAATGTTTATGCAATTATGTGTTTGTTGTTTATTTTTTTTCTTTGAAGGCGAATATTTTCTGAAGTTATTGTAGGTGTAGCATTATGTATAAAAATGAAGATTATTTTTATTGATTTATTGAATTTAAAACAAAAATGGAGTCCATGTAAGAGCACACTGTAAAAGCATCATTATGAGCTTTTGTTTTCCGGTTGAAATGATTCATCTCTTGAATAGTTGAATTTATCTGATCATATATTCCCTTTGTCTTTCAAAAAAAAAAGATAGGGTTTACTTTAGGAAATTAAATGAAAGATCTTTAGTAAAATATAAAGTGTATGCAAGAAGTTTATGTGAAAAATATTGTGTATAATACTCCGTGATATTTTATTTTATTAAATAATTAATGAAAACATATAAATAAACAAAAATTATCATTATGACTGGAAAAAAAGTTACATTCTTTTTTAGAAGGACGGAGTGCAACTATTTATCCCTCCAACCCATAGTTTATGTTATACACCCTCTGTCCCGTAGTTTTTGTTCAAGTTTTCTTTTCTTTTTTGTTCCCATTATTTTCTACACAACAAAAAACAGATTATTTTTCAATAGAATAAGGTCTGCATTCATACAAATAGATTATGATAAATGTCATGTACGATATAGATATATATTACGTTTATATATAGTTTTTATATATTATTACCTCTCTCCAACAATAATATTTTCACTGAATAAAGTTATTTTCAAATTTTTTTATAAGAAATATAGCATGTAGTCAAAAAATAGAAATTACATATTTATAAAAACTACATCAAAAAATCTATAAAATTTAAAGTGATATGACCATATTATTTTATTAAATAGACATCAAAAATAGAAAAACAAAATAAATAAAATCTGACCTTTTAAATATTGAGTAGGTAGGTCATTTTGAAGTATTAAGATTCGTAAAATGGATATGAATTTAAAGAACCGAATATTCCTTGTGGGGGTTGGGGTTGTAAAGGATTGAAAAAGAGTCAAATTGCTGTCAAAACATGAAGAGAAAAAGAGTCAAATCGTTCTCTCCCTCCCTCCCTTCCCCTCCTTCCATTTTCTTCTTCGACTATGGCCCTATCTCACAGCTCATCTCCATCACCGGAGATCCCAATCTCTCTCCTCCCCCAACCCTAATTAATTCTCTCTCTCTCTCTCCGCCATTATTAGGACGGATTTCTCTTCTCTCAGATTCTACATTTCACCAATATATGTCTCCTCGATTTCATGCGTTTTTTTAAAATATACGTACAAGAGATTAGGAGGCAGGCCTGTATGTACAGCTCGGATCTCCAGGTAGGGGAACGTCTCCAAGCTCATCGCTGACTTGTTATTTTGATCCGCATTCGAATTTGGATCCGATTTGTTCTAGGGATTCGAATGATGATTTCGGATCCGAGTCTGGTCCGCTACGCCTGCGTTGCCCAGCACGCCACCGTCCTCGCCGAGTTCAACTCCGAGGACGCCGATCTCGGATCTCTGGCGATCAGGTGTCTCGAGAAAACGCCGCCGTTTCACTCAATGTACACGCACACCGTCCGCGGACGCTCCTACGCCTTCCTGATCGAGAATCCGTACGTCTACTTCGCGATCTTCGAGGAGAAGATGGAGAAACATGACGGCCTGGCGTTCCTCAGGGGCGTCAAGGAGGAGTTTGACCTCTTCGTGGCAGAGGTGAGTTCCGCGAAGAAGCGTCTTGAACAGGCGGGCTCGCATTGCTTCCAGGGGGAATTCAATCCGGTGTTCCACCGGTTGCTCGCTTCTTCAATGTCGGAGACCGAGGAGCCTCCCCGTTCGCCGAGGAAGATGAGCCACGAGAGCACCGGGAGCATGGACTCTCTGTCCTGCGGGTGCAATATGGGGACAACACCGTTGTTCAACGAGGCTTCAAACAACTTGAAGAAGAAGAATAAGAAGAAGAGGCTATTGGGGGAGAGCGACGACACAGCGGGGCTGAGCAGGGACTTCTCTGTGTCAATGCACAAGAACAGCGCCGCGTATTCCGGCGAGTTGGGACACCAGAGGGCGAAGAGAGTTTGGAAGAGGCAAGTTTGGGTGGTTCTCGCCCTCGACCTTATCGTCTGCACCATGTTGTTCATTGTCTGGCTTTGGGTTTGCAGGGGGTTCAAATGCATTGATGGCTGAGCTGAGTCTTTGATTACAACAACCCTTTTTTTTCTCATCTTGCATTGATTGAACATGTTCTTTTGTTATTTTTATCAATGCCAAGTTGTGTTTGCTGATCAATGGTGATGGAACACCCACATACAAAACCCTTTTTTTCTTATATGATGCTGTAGTAATCTGTATGCTCATATAAATGGATTTCTGTATAATATTCTGTATATGGAAGACTAAAAATATGTATTTCAACAATGTATGAGAATTTCATTGAATGGCACTGATATGCATTGAGTTCTTTGTACCTATGTTCTCAAGTGTGTTATGTATGATTTTTGTTCATCTAACCATCCAAAAAAGGACTTGTGGCTAAAATTTGGGTATCACGTTAGAACGAAGAAGACACTCGTAGTTGACTGCGATCGATAAAAATGACGAGCCAATATTGAGGGTTTAGTTTGTATTGACAAATAAAGGGTTTTAATTCTCGTCGAACAATAAAAGTAAGGTTGCCTTAGTCCGAAGCTCCCATCGTCGATTTCTCTTTATTCGTCATGTGACACTTTAAGAACAACGTGAGACACTTTTTCGAAACCAAACAAGATATGGCTTAGGAACTCAACCCAACTTAATCCTTTTTTGGTTAACCAAACAGGCCCCAAATGGCCTTTGGGTCATAGGTGAATGCATCACTTTTTAAGCCAAATTTGAAAATTGAAGAAGCGATTCTATACCTTTACAAAGCAAGAAGAAAAGCACATTATATGGCAACTTTCTCATGTTAAATCTCCAAGTTTTCTTTACCATTATGAAAAAGCATAGGATTTAATGACTTTTGGGTCTTTCCATATTTTGTCATAGAACGTCCTTATTTTTTACTCCGTAACTTTCACTGCATTACAATAGATTCCTTACCGACTCTTGTCCCTTGAACTGTACAAAAATTGGTGTAACAAAGAAACAAAGGGTAGGAAAGTAAATTCCTGCACAAAATTTGAAAATGACAAAAGAAGAGAAAATCTCAAACACATGACAAGTTATTGTGATGGTGTCCCGTAGAAAGTGTGCAGATAATTTACTAAGATGACAATCCTATACAAACACCATCTCCTAGCTCACCTACACCCGAAAAGCCTAATACGTACAGAGAGTATTAACTTATATAAAATGAGTCTCCACACTCGACCATTGAACTGACATGAAAAGGGCAATGCATGGAAAGGCTGGGGGTTTTGGTGTCACTAGAAGGAGATGCAGTAGTGATTTTAAAAAAAACATATGGCTGCGAGTCTTTTAGCCACAAGGTGTGAGTTTTTTGTTACCGGCACCACGGGGGTTGTCATCTTTCCAGTCATCCCATGCCCTTGCTTTCTCTTCAGCAGCATCTTCATCTTCATCATCATCTTCTTCACTTGGCTTTGATGGCCGGTTTTCCTTGTACCATGATGAACTTGCTTCTTCCATGAGCTTGACATTCTTTTCTTGCCATTTGTTCATTATCTCCATCTCTTTTAACCCAGCTTCTTCTATGCTCATTGTTGGCATTCTAAGAGTTTTAGTCAACCGTTAGTTAGATACATAGCATTAGATTGTTGGCAAGGCTACAAAAATTGTACTTCGGTGGCTGGAAGAATGATTAATGCATGAAAAATTTTGTAGAAAAAAAACATGTAAAAAATTCATGGAACTAGGGGTTGGCAGGGGCCTAATACCCCTACTGCTGCCCCTGCATTGTATCATTGGATATGTTGCATATCAATCAGGGCAGGTCTGGAATTCTTTTCCTTTAACATTTCAAGTTTCAGCTTCTAAATTCATAATAATAATGATGATGCTAATGATCATCATAATAATAACAATAATAATTAATAATAGTAATAGACCACCTTTATATTTGAGTCAAAACTTAATTCATAGTACGCACCTATAGTGAGGCTGGAAAACTTGTGCAGCCATTCTTTCTCGAGCAGTAGTAGGATTCCGGCCAACCAGGCTAGCTGGTCCAAATATTAAGGGCTGGTGTTTATGCTCATGCATCTGTGACACATTTGCTCTCCCCTCTATAACATCTTGGGCGAAAGTGGCACATGTGATAGGTTTTGCTGGCCTGGTGTATTGAGACCGTGCAGCAGCATCACGATGCCAAGCCTCAGCTTTTATTGTGCGTTCATCAAGAATTGCCTGTGAAATCTGTGTTTGCCCTTCCTGCAGCATAAGTGTCATCAGTTGCTGATTTTCACATCCATATATTGAAACTATGAATTAAAAAAGTCAAATCAATTAGTGAAAATAATCCAGAACCTAAAATCATAGGCATTCCCTCTTTAAAGAAAAAATATGATAGAGGTTTGCAGGACAACATACTATGGGTCTTTGGTTCTTGAGTGCAAAACCCCGCACAATAGTAATGAAATCCCATCATACTATTTTTCAACTACTACTTAAATCCATATTTATTCACACAAATTGACCAAGAAACCTGAATGTTTCAATTATATCCATACCTCAAGCTCTTTTTCCTTTATAGCAGAGAGCATTTCTTCCTCTTTCCTAAGCATTTCTAATAGATCAATAGCCTGCAATGTCAATGATGGAGTTAGAAATTTAACTCACAGTCTAAAAGCACAACAAATACAAGAGTACTGAAAATCGAGACCAACCTTACAAAGAGACAGTGAGACGGTTGCAAGCCAAACCTGGATTAAAAAAAGAGTCAGTAAAGCAGAAAAACATCATTCATAGAAATAAATTCTCAAAAAACATGAATGCCTAACAAAGCAAATGAATACACCAATCTTTAATTGCAACATTTGGAGAGGTAGCTACAATTTCAGTAGTACTGTTCATTAACACATGCCAGAGTGTAAAAGCAGAAATGACTAACCTCTCTTCCTTCTTCCCCATCTTCATCCGGTTCATCTTCTTGGCCAACATCAACATGAGTTGATAAAGCAGAAGCTCTAGTTGAACGGCCACGGCGTTCATTCCGCTCCTTCAGTTCAAGCAATTTTGATTCTGCTTCCTTCTGACGTTTGAAACGTGCAATCTGTACCGGTATGATGGGATAATCATGAATAAATGGATAAGTGAATAACCATCTAACTACCATTTTAGCAAATAATGATGTCATATAAGATGCTGCAATATACAGATAAAGCATGCCTTCTTTGCTCTACGATCCGCAAAACCATTTGGACCAGCTGGAATCGATGTCTCCAATTCATCTTCGGGAAGAAGCTCCATTGCCTCACAAAATGCAATAAACTCCTGAAGTTGTTGGGGGAGAACTTATCAGTTTAAAAATTTACATGGATAGGTCAAGACATGCAAATTCGAGAAATGTTTATAAATTTGGCCATGATGCAAAAATATCAACTTCCAACAAAAACAAGTTTTCACCTTTAACTTGGCCTGAGAAGCTTTAAGAATTTGTAGTCTATCACCCTCTGATATTTTCTCCTCTAATTCACCAAGATAATATGGCACCTGCAGCGATGAAATAAAGGGCATTTAAACACCAATTTTCTCAAACAAGCATTTGAATATCCGCTTTCTTTTCTTCTCTAAATAATAGCATAACCGGTATTTATCAAATTACTAATTTCAAGCACATTCAAAGTTTGCTACCCATAGAATACATTGAATATAGTTTCACAAACAAATTAAAGTAACATATGGAAAACATAAACTTAATTCAAGTTTCGAATCTCCAATTAAGGGCATACCAAAAGATATTTAAGATTCCCAGTGCTAATATCATCTTTCTTCTCATTTGATGAGAAGAGACCTAGTTTGCTGATCATATCCTCGCATTTTCTTGACAGTTCGCATCCCTTTTTCACCGTCTCCTAACGAATCAAACACCAATAGAGAAACAGGGTTCTAATCAACACCACTCTTACTTTTTTAAACGAGAGATTTTATAGACCAAAGCGTTACTGGGTAGGAAATTACCTGATCCACCATCGATTCAGATGCGGTATAATGAATTTTCCGTGCCTGTTCGAAGAGAGCTGGCAACGGCATCTCTTCCATCTTTAGCTCACTGAAGGTTCCCATTGTGGCGATGTTGTTATCAGCTTCAGAATTGCAAAAATAAACCTTATAATCGAATAATTGTAAATGGAGAAAGTACAGACTGAAACTAGGGTTTCAAGCTTTCAATTGTGTTGCAAGATGCAACCAGGGATTTCCAAAAACAAAACAAAAAAAAAACAATTTTGCTTAGGCCATGTTGACTCTCCTTCTCAAAATTTTGCTTGGAGAAAATGAAAATTGTATGGTTAAAAAAATTTTTAATAAGAGAGAAATTTTGGGTGTCATATTTTCATTACAAACAATAAAGTAAGTAAAAATGTTTTTTTTGCGGGATATCTGAAGAGGAAAAATGGGTAAAAGTTTGTGAAAAGGTCACAGGAAGATAGTGGTAAATACGGGTTTCACAATCTTTGACGCGCAACAAGTTTTATATGTTCAGACCAACATTTGTCTACATTAGTAAAATTTGTCACTAGGATGTGATGAAAGGAAAGGTGGATCCAGAATTTTGTGGGGTCCCAAACTCTTAGACAAGCCTGGCCTGCCAGGACCGAAAGTTTTTCCTATAAAAAAAGAACTTCGCCCCTCCATTTCTCATCACCTCCTCTCCGGGTCTTTAAGGCCCATCACTCCATTCTCCGCTCTTTTCTTAGATATATTATAATATTTTTGTTAAATTTTGTTACGCTTGTCCTAAAGTGGCTCCGACTCTGCTCTCTGTTATAAGTTTTAATACTTGCAATTTTAATAAAATACTCCCCCCGTCTTAAAACTTTCTTCCCAGAGCACTATTCCAACTTCACGGGAATTTATATTTATTTGTGTTTTTTCATGGCCTATATGATAAAATAAAATATTCTTATCACCACTTGGTTTGTTGAACTTTTGATGTAGTTTTTAAATATGTATGTTTTATTTTTTTATTTCTATACCAATATTTAAATAAAATAGATTGAAAAAACTTGGGATTTTTCTTCTTTTTGCGCAACGGGAATAAAGATATAGGTTGGAAGGAGTATTTTTTTCCATGCATTATTAATATTTAGTATGGGTTAGGACCCGGATTAGGGTATGTGCTAAATTTGGACATATACTCTGTATGTGTATTTAATAGTTGGAATAATTGTTCTAGAATTATTGGAAATTAATTCTTGTCTTGTCTATGAAGATATAAAATTAATAAAGCCAAATTTTTCAGAACGCATTAATGATAC